ACCATTCCACTGTTGGAAAATCATCGCTGGCAGTGGGGCTGAAACTGCAGGGAAGAATAACAGCCTCACCAGCGAAGGCAACGACCTGCACTGGTGGAACATGCGGCAAAGGATTTCCTAGGAAAACAGACAAAAAAACAATAATCTAGAGACAGACTTTGCACATAGGCCTTTTACACCCAAAGAGAACCATCTCCATTCCAGTTTGTGCACCTGGTTAGTCCTGCAGAGCATTTCAACCAAAAATAAATTGATTCGGAACCCAAAAAACAGCAACTAAAGTAGTCATGTCTTATTCTACAGGTCGTTGTGCATTGTGCAGCACCCCCTGTTGATGACGCATCCTTGATCACAATGAGTCCTCTCAAAACTAGTGGAAACATAGGCTGGTTTTCTAGCCAAGTTTCCAAGAATCCTGAAATGAACCGGTTCAAGAACCAGAGCCAATCTGGTGGAAAAAGACTAAAATCGGTTATTGCTCTATAGTGGGAACTGCTTCCAATATTTAGTCTTCTCTCATTGAAATAAAATGGACAAAATATTAGAAACACACCCCAGTATAATGTTCAAAAATAACACTAAAGCTGAATCACCAACTCTGAATTAGTCACAGCAAAGACTCAATACTACAACTATTGATGAAGGTAGGATTTATTGTGTGGCTGCTTTATTTGTCGCCTAATAAACAAACACAACACGTTTTCCCACCTCCACAGTTTCTGTACAGCCCTTTACATTCCTCCCTCGCCTGCAGCTCATTTTAGTCTGGCAGTTGGAATAGGACAACGCAGTGACATATTAAAGAGTTTAGATTCACCTGCAGCCTTCAGGCAACTTAAAAGTTATTTTGGTCTTTGGTTAAAAGATGTCACAACTCAAAGACTGAGGCCATTGGTCTTGCCAAATATTCTATTTGTTCTCGGCCAAGCCCTCAAGTAACTTCCTCCTTTAAAATGAAACCATTGATTAAGGGTGCTTGTTCAGTCCTTTGTAACAGCCAAAAGTTATAAATTGTGAGAGAAACATCATCAGACAGCGCCTGACCTGTCGAGCGGTACACCTGCTGTGAATGAACGCCTGTTGCTGAGCTCCCGTTTGTCTTTTGC